TGGCTTTTATCTGGCTTAAAACACAGTGAGGACTCATTGTTTGAAGTTTCCAATCAATCTTTAATCTTTTAGTGTTGGTGCTTGTTTACTCATTTTAAAAGACAGCTTCTAGCAAAAAAAGAAAATCCTATAAAGGAATCTATAGAGTTGTTCTACAATAAACATGCTTTAAAAGCAAATTTTTAGTAGCTCAATCATAAATTCAACATTTAAATCTCCCTCAAAGTGCTCTTGGTTTTTAATAATGGATTTTGGTATGATCCCATAAAAGATTCATGTTCAGACCTTTAACAAATACTGCTTTGAATAATTAATTTCAAAATATATTTTTTCTAATACATAATAGGAATTTCCTCTGTCTTTTCTGTTTATAAGAAGTAAGGAAAACCAGTCTTATGATTTTGATTCATGATTATGTCTTTGTGGTAAACATGACATATTTGGAGAGAAGAACAAAAACAATAATTCAAAGGCATCATTCAGAAAAATATTTACTTTTTAAAGACCTAAAACTGAAACTTTTAAAGTAAGATATTTTAATTAAAATATATGAAACAAATACAAGAATATTCAATATACCTACATTATGAAAAATTTAATGTTTTCTTCTTATCAGTTTTTAAAAAGAACCAGATATTTATTATATTTTATATCTAAGCCATCATCATTCACAAAATTAATTTACAACTTATTTTCCCCAATGCACATAATGAATAAAATATCAGAATCAGGAAACCACACCATATTTAAAAAAAATTAACCACTTCAAAATTCTTATTTGTAAAAATATAAGTCGATGAAATGATGTTTTATGTGAGATATCCAGGAATAGTTAAACAATCATCACCCCAGGAAAAAATGTGAATTTAACAAGACAGATTTCTGTTTTTCAGAAATATTCATTGCTGACTTTAATCTGGATACAACACAAGGCATAAATATTCAGTGGCTAAACAATAACCCAGTTAAACTTCATTGGGTTTTTTTTTTTTTCTCTAGTAGACATCCAATCCAATTTTTGTATCTTAAATGAAATAAGGAGAAAAAAATGATGTGGTTTCTTAAAGAAATTAGGTCATTTAAAAAATGTTATTTTCCCACCTTCTGTTTGTTATACTTGGAAACACACTAATATCTATTCAATTATGATTATAATTAATTTTGCATATATATTTTACGTTCAAATGCACACTATAAATAGTAATTGTAATAAAACATATTAAATTCCTCTGAAATGGCTTAGCTAAAGTAAATAGTTTTCCTTTAATATTCATTCCCCATGCTCTCCCATTAAAATGCAATGGCAAATCTGACAAAACAATAAGGGGAACACAGGGCAAGTGACTCTTTATTCATATAATAATTGACTACTGCTGTGACAACATCTAGCCTTTTTCACATAGTTGTGAAAAGAGTTCACTTTAAATTAATGGGCATCACCATGAAATAAATTACAAGACTGTGTAGTTGGGAAGCAAATCAGGCCCACATTAGATATAATTGGGTGAAACTGATACAGGGATTTTGTGGGTGAAGGTTAGAAATGGAATTTTTGCACAGGAAATAAATGTATGAGACCAAATTGTTTTTATTTTTAAAGAGCATTTTTTTTTTTTTTTTTTTTAAGGGATCTCTAGTTATCTAACAATGATTCGTATTGATTACTTAACTTAGGACATGGCTTGTAGGATTTGGAAGATTAGCTGATCAGCTTCCATTTAAATGAAAGGAAGATCCATTTAATCTAAACTTCAAGTCCTGGTTAATGGATTTGACCTTTTCTTGAAATATTGGAAAATAAATCCAGACTGTTCTCCAAAGCTATGGGCCAGAATGCTACTATTTGTTTAAAAGCCAAGATGATACTAAGCTTATTAGAAAGGATATTAGAAAGGAAACAGAAAAACACTTTTTTTTTTGCTTTTATTATATCAGCATGTACTCTCATCAGGAAAATTATGGATACACATAGTTACTACATCACACAAAATTAGAAAACTCTAGAAAAAAGTAAAACAATGAAGGCGAATAGAATGAATTCTATATAAACACAGACTAAAAAAAAAGTTTGGGAAAATAAAGTTTGACACTGGCTCATGCTTGTAATGCCCTAAAGGTTTTAGATTTTTATAATATAGTATTAGTAAAAAAAAAAAATCTGTTGATTATATTTTGAGACTGAAATATATCCTTCCTATGCAAATATTTGCATAAACTTATAGGAATCAGTACTCGTTATTGATGAATTTTCACTATTTGATATTTAAATAAATTCAAAAGGATTTTAGATAAATTCATGGATTGTAGCTCCACATTGGATTGTTAAAGAAGCTAAAATTCTTTTTGGAATATGTATATCATTTGATTTCTTTAGATCTCATCTAATGGAGGGCAAACATAAGTTGCTTTAAAATATATTTTATAGGAATATTCTATTTCTGTCAGGAAATAGAAAACACTGTGCTTGGGAGAACTCTTCTTATAATTTGAAGATCATATCTATGCCACTATCTTGTAATTTTATTACTGCTTACTGCTTAGCTTAGTTTTTAATATAAGTACTTCATTTCTTAAAACCAATGTAAATATTTTTAGAAAATGGCATTACACCATTAATGAATATTTAAGTATGTTACCAGGAGAGTTAATATTGTTATTCATTTTTTTTGCAAGTTAATCTTTTATTTAAAAATCCCATCCATAAAATCACTCATCAGTGATAACTGATGAATAAAGTAACATATGGAGTGAAAGAGATATACAGCAAACAACATATGAAAGATATACATCTGATATTTTACCAAAATTCCTCACTACCAAGTGTTCAAAAACATGAAATTGATTTTATTCCCAAAACTTGCAATTGTTTTCTTCTCTGTTCTATTAAGTCAGAACATCTATAATTATAGCCTGGGATGGGGAATGAGTTCAGGAGGTGAGAAGGAAGGATTGCAGGTGAGGGTCTCTGGTTGGGATCTCTTAGAGGTCATTCAACATCCAATTTTTTAACAGATCATTTTGACACCCACTGTATTTTTACCCACTGCCAATCATCTGCTTCTAGGTGGTGAAAGTTTGATTTGTGCCTGACTGTGCATTCTTAGAGAAAACCTGAGAGGCAGTCTCTGAACAGGAAGTCTTGCTCTATGACAACAAGAAGGAATTTGCAAACTGACGGGTAAACGGTCAATTTGCATATTCAGTGAAAGGAGCAGTGCAGTATTTGAGGATGAGTAGGATAGGCCCCGGCAGTTCTAATGGGGAGGAGATTACTCTGCTGCTGTGAGAACAAGGTGCTGGCTGTGGCCCCATGGGAAAAGCACTGTTCCTACCAGCTCAGCCTCTTATCAGCACGTGCCCTTAAGAAATTACCGAGATCTCGGGGTTTTACGTCTAAAAGGAGGGGATGTTATTTTAATTTCTAAGGTCCCTTCTGTCTTTTAAAGTTTTTTTTTTTCATCTCTAGGGATAATTTTTTAAATTTCCTATTTAAGTAGAGACTAAATTTAGGTTGGAACCTTCAAAAGAAATGTTGAAAAGGGTATATATAGCTCTTTTCCATTAAGTGCGCCTTAAGGGGGACTGAATATTCACAGTCAGTGTGCATAATGTCTTCCTTTAAAGAATTTGCAAGTGTCCAGGGAATGCTCCATTTGCATGGTGTGTTTAAATGTTTATTTTTCAAGACAAAGGGGAGACAAAATTTTGTCTACCAAGTGAATGGTTTGTAGAAACATAAAATAAATCCTGCTATTTTTCCTACATTTTCTAATGTTCAAATAACCTGCAAAATACAGATATCAACAAAGTTAAATAAATCTGCGAAAATAAAATGGAAACATGGAAGATCTGTTGAATCTTTATAGCTTTTCATATGAACGTGAAATTATTCGTAATTATCATGGGACATTTACATGTAGAAAGAGGACAATTTTAGGAACATCTCAAAATAACTGCATTTAAAAAAAATCTCTTTGGGCAGCTTTGAAGTGGAGGCAGGCATCTCCATGGAAGGGATTTATGACCTTTGATGTGCACCTATGAGGGGACTGCAAGCTGGTCACATAGGTGATGTTCGTGAGGTTCCTATTGTTATAAGAACTACAGACATCAAAATTTAGAGGGACTCAAGAGATCATATACAAGTTCCAGTGCTGAAGGAGTGAATATATACTTAACTCCACAGTTATTTGAGTAGATAATATTGCAGTAATTTTTTATTTTATGGGATAGTCACTGCTGTGCAGTTCATCAAATAAGGACTTGACCACGTTCCTTATTCCTCCTCGTTCCTTTATATTTTTATTGATCTAAGAAAACCAATCCTCCCCACCCTCAAGGTCCTTTTCATACATGCCTATGTGTGCCATTGAATTAAACCAAGTGATCTATTTTGACAGTTTGATCAATGGCATATATATATATATATATATATATATATATGCCATTTTTCTTTTTCATTAATCTGAGGGCTATACCAGTTTAGATAACCACCACATTATCAGATCCTGGTTGAAAAGAAATTGTTGATACACTAAATGAAGGGTTATGTTTTGGTTTAGAATTTCTCTTTTTTACAGCAGTGAGGTTTTGAATAATGCAAATGGTATTTAAAATCATCTGTATGATGCTAGACAGTCTCCCATGCAGCAACATGAAGATATATAGTTTCTTGAATTTATAACGTCATAAGAATATCCACTTATGGTTTGAGTGTATTATATGTCTATAAACTTCCTTTGTACTCTCCCAGTAGGAGATTTTTAAGTACCTGATAAAATAAACACATTCTAAACAAATGACTTAAACATTCAGGCTTTAGATATAAAATATTATTTTTCTATTGGAGTAAAACATGAATTCTAAACCCTAGAAAAACTTACATTGTGTTTGTGTATTTAAAGCATTCTAGCCTTGAAGTATAGTGATTGAGTTGATCTATCCTATCACTTGTTTTCCCCCTAATTATAATCTGATTGTTAGTTTGTCATTTACCTTCTTTACAAGAAAGGGAGCCATTTTTTATGATTTCCAACCTGTTTGCTATTTACCAGTTTCTTATAAATCTCTGACTTTAGAAGTCGAGGGAAAGAATCCTTGGCCATCAGACTGTAGATCAACTGCTGAGCCTCATTAAAACATTTGAGAGTTGATTCTGCAGTATTCTTTGAGATGAGGTCCCTGGTACTGAAGTCAATGTTAATCTGTGGAAACAAATTTCATCGCGTTACTAGTTGAATCAAAGAATGCGTGGTTTAAACAGATGGTAGATACACATATGATTTGAATTTTTTTCTAAACACAAAGTTAATCTGATCTAATCTAATCTAATCTAAACAACAGAGAGGTCACATATTCATTTTCTGAAATGCAGAACACATGCTCAGTTTAATTACATTTCCTAGGTTGAGAGTGTTGGCATTGACAGAGAACAGAGGTCAAGCCTTATTCTGAGATTACGAAAAATGGCAAAGTGAAAGGCAAACAAGAAATTTTATGATTTTAGATTTCTTTTCCCTCCCATCCTTTATTTCTTTCTAGTACTTTGACCTTAATATGTAAAATGTACTTTTCATAAGCAGAGCAATAATTAGAAATTTACTCTTATGGTTTTCACCAATCCATTCCCATTCTCCATACCTCCCTGTGTTGTTTCCCATAATGCTGCTTTTCATCCTAATTTGTATTTCTTTTTGTTTGCCAAAATGAACCAAATAACAACCCCTTTCACGGACCACCATGCCTCCCATGGAATATACATATATACATGTGTGTGTGTATGTATATTCTTGTCCCTTGAGCACTACCACATGTAACTGTTCTCAGCAAGGTGTAATAGAGATCTATTATATTGAACACACCATTCACCTGCAAATCTGTAAAATGCCCCAAACCTTGTGGAGATACTTGTCCAATTCTACCCATATTCCAGGATATATTTTGAGAAGCAGAAAATTTCACATCCAAGTTGTTTTACTTAAACTGAAAATATTCATGAAGCGCGAAAGAGATTTGAATCTTAAAATTCTAAGCTCACCAAAGGCAGGTGCTATATCTGTCTTATTTATCATTTTATTTCTTGGCACTTAGCCAATTATCTGCCACATACTAGGCAGTCAGTAAATATTTGTTGAATAGAATTATAATGTCTCTTGGTAAAATGTGGGAGACTATAAAAATGCCAGAATTTGGGGGTCTGGTAAAAGACTATAAATTACAATTTATGTTTATTGAATTGAAGTTAAAAGATAGGCAGGTAGACCTTCAATCAAATCTCTCCTCTAGGGCTTCCCTGGTGGCGCAGTGCTTGAGAGTCCGCCTGCCGATGC